GCATACATTTGTGAGCTGTCTTGTGTCATGTGAAGCTGCATCTTGTTCTCCTACAGATGGTGCTCTGTGGTCAAGAATGAACAAATGATACTGTGCACTGCCTCACCTCCACTTTCATCTCCATCCAAGATCAGTTTCAAAGCACACCAACTTGACATCTTCTTATTAAAGGCCCCGAGCAGGATTTGTTTTGCGTCACTTTTGTGTAGTTGTAATTAGTTGCATATTTTTGCTTTACATATCCTTTTAACAACTGACTGGCACCAAAATTACAGCATTCATTTGCTACATTTTTTTTAGAGGTCAAGAAAAACAAACTAGCATAACTTTTGGGTTTTTTTCAGAAAATTCCCTCAGCTGATTTTACTCTGAAATGCTTTACAACACCTTTTTTTTTTACCCTGAAAGTATTAAGCACTTATATTTCAAGGAAAAAGTTCAGGTTTGGTTACTAACCTTTAATAATATGAAGAAGCACTTGTTAATAAAAAATGTACTTTTCATAATGAGAATTTCCCTATGGATTTTCTGAGCTAGTCACTTATGGAACAGTTGAAAATGTGTTTTTGACCTTAAAAGTATTACTGATTACTTATAAAATGCAGAGATGGAATATTGCTTGCCACAACTGCAAACACAATTCCATTAAATAGAATTTGAAACGCTGAATCAATGTGGTGAAGGTTAGTAGGCTACTCTGAATGAAAGCAATAACAACACAAAAAAATAAAGAAAATGTTGGTTTGGTTCATTTTAACTGGTTGGTTATCTGACATAACTTGGATTTCTTTTAGTTTCAGTCTTTTTGGTGGCTTTTGCTCATGTATTTTTTTCCTCCTGCAGGTCTATATCAGTAATTATTTCGATTGCTTTCACCTGTGTCTTGTCAAGCACACCAGTGTAATATGGTCCTTGTCTTCCCCTCTTCCATTTTAGTTATTGTTCTCCCTTACAGTTTTGTCTCAAGTTATTCTGTTTTAAATTTATGGGAGTTTTTGGATGTTCAGATTTTTGGATTGTAGCAGCAGCTTCAGAAAGGATTTTTTTTTCAGTCCCTCTTCCTCCATTTGGATTCCCTTCCAGTCACCACCTGTTGAATAGCAGTACTGACCTGTGCCAGTTTTATTTTTATGTCCTATTCTTGTATTTTCTAATGCTTTCATTTGTACAGTTTTGCTTTCTTTCCTGACCGTGTATCCCATTGCTCAGTGATGTTGTCCTGACCTTATCTTCTGTGTTTATTTCACTGACAAAAGCTGAAGGCTGATAGTGCTCTCTGTTAACAGCACCTGCCCTAATGAAGATGGAGCACATGGCTAATTAGCACACTAACTTTGGGGCCACTTATAAACCTACATTTTAAGGCTTGTTTTAAGACAAATTTCTACATAATGCAAATTTGAGTGAAAAGTCTGAGTCTAACTCTCTTAGCTACCCTATTAATGCCCATTTATCACAATGGTTGCTCAACTAAGGCAAGAAGCATTAGCAAGATTGCATGCAACCTCAACTAGACTTCTAACCCATCAATCTAAAAGCTTTTACAGTGGCGTCTGATTTCACACTAAGGAAATGTTTTAACTCTGGGACCACCTCACTGATCCTCACCACCACTTTAAAACCGTATTACAACACTGTCTATTGAAGTCAAAACACTGTATTTTCATAGTTGGACTGCTTCAACTAAATATAAATTTTAAACCGTATACAACTAAACGTATAACATTTAAAGTATCCATATCGTGCATATTCTGGTCATAGATGTTGCCTGTTGTTATAACTGTTATAAATACTTTGTTTCTGTGTTACATTTAAAATGTAACTATTTTCTCTGGTAGACAAGAAGAGCCTTGAGGTTGGTTTTGTGTTAGTGCTATGCTCTGAATGTAAACAATGTCACTTTGTGTAAAATCCTGACTTACTAATTCCACAAACCTTTTCAAGATTATTAATACTGCAGCAAAATGTTGGTGTCAAAGTGCATTTTTTTTCACACAGCTTTTTTGATGAACATCTGTTTGCAAAATTCTGCATTTCTCAAAACGTCTGACAGTGGAAACACACCCAACTTTTTTAAGTGGATTATACTTATGGTTGTCTCATTGAGACACAAGGATTCACATGCAATATTTTATAATAAGGCATTTACCTCAATTTATGTTAAGGCAGGGTGGGCAATTCTTGACCTGGAGGGCCTGCTATCATGCGTGTTTACTTGTTCCTCTGCTTCAGCATACCTGGTTTAAAGAAATGGGTAATTAGACTTCTGCAGATCTAAAAGAGGCAATTAAATCACTGTAACAGTTGTGTTGGAGGAGGGGAAAAGAACATGCAGTAGCTAACGGAGGCCCTCGAGGACTAAGTATGAGCAGAGACATTGTTATTGTCGTCTTTGTTTAGCTGTGTACATAAGTCGCGTGATTTTTTTTTTTTTTTTTTTTTTTTTTTATGATTTTAGAGAGCAGGACGTGCGCGCTGAGGCAGAAGTGCATCCATTTAAATTTAAACGCGCATGTTTTCAGTAGCTTCGCCACTGGAGTGCGCTGTGGTCGTCCCCACCATAGATATGGTCTCCCCACTTTCCTGTAAACGGTGGTGGGGGGCTTCCAGTCAGACGTTTTTATGGACGTTCCCTGTTTTGTTGTTTGCTAACAACAATAAAACTGCTCGTTTTATCCTGCAGGTTTTCTTCTTCGTTTGTCCGTGCTTTGCAGCAATGCCTGCACTCACCATCTCTTACAACGCGGTGAACGAAGAAGGGACGTTTTCAGAGGGAGACATCTTAACAGGAACTGTCACTCTGCAGCTGTCGAAAGAGACCAAGTTTCAGAAGCTGTTTGTGAAATGTAAGGGAGATGCTAACACTCTCTGGACGGAAAATCAGGGCGACCAAAGTCTCACGTATGGGGCACACAAAAGGTACTTCAAACTGAAGCAGTTTTTAACCCCTGAGGAATCAGAAGGTGAGAAATCAACAAGTGCACCCGCTGTACTTGTTTAAACAATTAATAATAGCCTAATATCCAATACAAAAACAAACATTAGGATGAAAAGGTTTGTAWATGTTTACGTTCAAATTAGAGTTGGCATTTAGATTTTCAGTGAAATGAATWGGARGGAAAGACTGTGCTCTATAGAAACACAATGTAGATTGAAATACTTAACAACAAGAAATATTAAGAAAGTCTAAGATTGTGTATTGCATATTAAATGACATTATTAAAAAATCACTTTTTTACATGTGTGTTTGAGAGAAACTGTTGTCGCCTAGTAATAACAAATCATATTGCTGTTAAAACACAAACTCTTATTTGCCTTTTTTTTTTTCAGAAAATGTTTTGCCTCAAGGAATCCATGTTTACAAGTTCAGCTTTACAATACCGACAGAGTGAGAACTCCACAACTCACAATCTTTTGCACTTTTTTTTAAGCAAACATGACTGTGAGTCATGTGCTTGCATTACTGTGGAAGCACAGTAATGCACTTCAAATGTACCTGTAAGTTAATTCACACATTCCATGACATTAATCGTGCTCGCTCTTGTTTCAGAAGCATGCTGTCATCCTTCAAAGGAACTTATGGAGACATTGTTTACAAGCTGGAGGCCAAGCTGTCCAGACGTTGGAAGTCGGATTRCAAAGCGGAAAAGGAGATCACTTTTGTCTCTAAATCTTTTCCAAATATTTACTCTCTCATGGTGAGTAGTGTATGTAGGTGAAGTAATTCACATGGTTTTGGGCTGTAGTTAGTAATGGAATTTTATAGAAATCACCCTTGTTAACCTTGTTCTGACCTGCCACACAAATAATTTTGTTGTACTTCATAGTTGCTTGCATCATTAAAAATATATTGAAGTTAAAATTGTATATTAAAAAATAAATTCATTATTAGATATTCTAGAGGCTTGTCTGAGTACCCAGATACAGGTCTTGTAAAACAAAAATGGTGATCAGTGCAGCAGTATTGTAAACCTGAGCTTTAGGTTTAAGCCCAATTTGAGTCAAAAAGGGCATCCAGCAATCAACACTTGCCAAAGTCTTCTGTGTGAAGTTCCTCACTGTGGCAACCTCTGCAAGWGGGAGCATCCAAACGAAGGAAGGAAGWGCTTGTGAAACATAACAGTCAGCTTTTAGCTTTTTTGTTTGTTGGCCTATGTGGAAATATCTGSTTTAGTTGCCACATGCGCTTTTACTCATCAAGTCTCAATGTATGCTGTTTAAAGCTGACAGTGCAGGTTGGATACATCTACATTCCTGCCAAATTTCTTGTTGATCAGTGCAGCTGCTTCTGTATTACGGTTGATCAAAAACAACAAAAATAATAATAATGAAAACTAAACAGTACAAAAGCAATACTTTATGACCCCTGCTTCGCGTGTTGGGGTCCTAACAGCTTAAACTAGAATGTTACTAACATTACAGAACCAACATTACAAGTATCTGTGTTTAGTCTGCAAAATAGTCTATGATAAATATTTTCCTGATGCAAGCAAGTTTTAACAGCAACAAGCAGAGTTGCCGTTGCTACAACCACTTGTAAATGGCACTGCACTTCCTGCATTTTTCTTCTCAAACAGTAGATGTCACTCCAGGGAAACAAAATGAAATAAGTCATACAAAAAGCTTTTTCAGTATTCAAATCAATATTATTGCAATTTTTAGATATCCCAGTTTATGGTCGTATCACCACCCAGCCCTGTTTCACACAGCAACAATGTTTTATGGTTATTTTGCAGTAATCAGTATTTAGTTATGGAGAATTTAAACCAGACATTACGGTACATTGTACTATTGGTAACATTTGATCAAATGTAATCATTTTCATTTCATCCAGGAACCCCAAGCTGGCTCAACAGATAAAAAGATGGGTCTTTTCTCCAAAGGACATGTGCACATGGATGTGACCATGGACAAGGGTGTTTTTGCTCTAGGTAAAATCCCTTTTGATGTGAAGGGTTCATTTAAAGGTGTTTGTTTTTGTCTTTGTTTTTTTGTTTGTTTGTTTTGTTTGTTTGTTTGTTTGCTTGTTTGTTTGTTTAGGGGACATATTTGCTAATTTAGGACTATAAATGGGTAAATGTTAAAATCTAGTCCAATGATGGTTTCATGGAAAGTTTTGTGTTTTATGTTGGTAAGTTTAAAGATTGATAGGTCACAGCTCATCTACTATTACATTTTTAGAACACTGGTAAAGTATTTTTGGTTGTTTTTGTTGGACCATAGTCTTGTGTAGTTATTGGTGTTTTTCTTCACAGGTGAAACAATTAAGATTGTTGCCAACATAAACAACTCTTCATCCCGTGACATGACTCCCAAATTTAGTTTAGTTCAAGACGTAAAGTTTCGTGAGCAAGGAGAAAGCAAACGTCAGAGCTACAATGTCAACAAACGTCAGAGCTACAATGTCAAAAAACTGGCCAGTGATCCAATTAAACCCAATACTCAGCAAAAGGTAGAGTTTTCCATGCAGATTCCCTGTGATCAGGTGCCATCAATCCCAAACTGTGAACTCATCACAGTGAAATACAAGTTAAAGGTATGTAACATCTGAACAGGAATAACTTATCAAACAGAAGAAATTTGYACAATTAAAAGATTATATTTTGATGCTATTCTYTCTGAACGATGAATCYTTATCTACTCATGAGACAAGTGTTTTTTATTCCCCTAGGTGTATCTGGACATTAGCTTTGCCTTTGATCCAGTGGTCCTGCTGCCAGTGCTCATTGTTCCTCCCAACTTTGCTCCTGTTGGTCCTTACCCTATTCCAGCTTTTGGGGGCCAGACCAAKAGTGYSTTCCCTCCCCCTGCAGTAACTGGAGGTCTTTATCCTGCATATCAACAGCCAGGCAATTATGGGTATCCAGCAGTCCAAAGTCCTTCTGCACCACCACCTGAATACCCAGTGAACCCACAGATGCTGGCTGGCCCACCAGGTGTTTACCCCACTCAACCACCACTCATGTATGGGGGCTATTGTACCCCAATGCCACAAGTGCCTTCTCCACGCGAATCTTCATCCTCAGCTTCTGTGATGCTCCCTCCACCACCACCCGGGACGTTTCACCCGCCTCCATCAGCACCACAGATCCAGCCCCCTACTTACTTTGTGCCTCCATCAGATCCAGCTAGTAACCTGATCCCTTCTGCTCCAGGGATGAATACAGATTTCCTGTCACAGGCAAATAAGGCTCCTCCATCATATTTGGATTTTCTATCTTCTCATCCAGAAAAATCTTATTCTAAATGATTCAATAAAAAACATTATTTAGTCAGGTATTCAATGTAAAATGTGTTGTCAATCAACTATAACTAAAGAGGTTGCTTTGCCACAACGTGACGTTTTTATGTGATTCAAGTTATCAGTTGGCTTTATGTAGCTGCTAATATAATAAAATCTAAACCTCATTTATCGGGATGCTAAAATACAGGCTTTTTTAATATTTGAAGTGTTGTTGTTTTGTGTTTTAATGTTAACTATTACCTCTGATATTTAACGGTTTGTAAA